GTAAGCCCCCCTCTCCCCCCACCAGCAGTTAACATCCTAATGACCCTGACCTAATGTAACCTCTCCATCATAAGACCCATCACAAGCCTCTCACTGATGACTCATACCTGACCCATTACAAGACCCTCACTTGACACACCCAACCTAAAGCTCTTATAAACAGACACTGACATGCTCTAAACTCCACTGAAGATATTACTTAGTCTGGTAATGAAATGTTCAGAAACCAAGCTCAGAGAACGAACCTCTACCCTCAGACTTCTACAGGATGAATGAGGTACCAGTATAGGTGGTACCTCACTTGATAGTAGTAACTGCAAGAGGGATCTTGGAGTCCTAGTGGACAATCACTTAAATATAAGCCAGCAATGTGCTGCAACTGCCAAAAAGCCAACACAGTGCTAGGCTGCATTAACAGAGGGATAGAATCAAGATCACGTGAAGTGTTAATATCACTTTACAATGCCTTGGTAAGGCCATACTTGGAATACTGCATCCAGTTTTGGTCACCACGATGTAAAAAAGATATTAAGACTTTAGAAAGAGTACAGAGAAGAGCAACAAAGATGACTAGGGGACTGGAGGCTAAAACATATAAGGAACAGTTGCTGGAATTGGGTATGTCTAGTTTAATGAAAAGAAGAACTAAGGGTGACATGATAGCAGTGTTCCAATATCTCAGGGGTTGCCACAAAGAAGAGGGAGTCAAGCTATTCTCCAAAGCAAGACAAGAAGAATGGGTGGAAACTAATTGAGGAGAGAAGTAACCTAGAACTAAGAATAAATTTCCTGACAGTTAGAACAGTTAATCAGTGGAACAACTTGCCTCCAGAAGTTGTGAATGCTCCAATACTGGAAGAGATTAGACATTAGATATTAGATATTTGTCCAAAATGGTATAGAGTTTCCTGCCTGAGCGGGGGATTAGACTAGAAGATGTCCAAGATCTCTTCCAACTCTGTTATTCTATTCTATTCTATTCTATTCTATTCTATTCTATTCTATTCTATTCTATTCTATTCTATTCAGAATTCCTGAAAACATGGAATTCTGGATTGTGTGGAAGCATCACACAAATTCTACCCCCTACATAGATTTCTGGAGAAATAAATATGTGACCCATGATAGATAGATAGATAGACAGACAGACAGACAGACAGACAGACAGACAGACAGACAGACAGACAGAGCCATATATCCATTATGCAGTGTCCAATTCATATTTTGAAGCCTAAAATTAAATATATGAAGAGGAACATACTTTTTGAATCTATACAAATTAATTTTCTTGGTTGATCCTAGGTTTTAGCATTATATGGCTATATGATCAAATTTATCAACTTTTCCTGGAGCTTGAAGATAAATTATCAGTAAGAGAATAATATAATATTTATTATATATTTACTGTCTATCTATTTTTGCTAGTTCAGCTACCCTGAACTTGTTCATTTGCCTATTGTTTTCAGTGTTGTATGTGTTTATTCACTAAATTGTTTTTTTTGGCTCAAAAGAAAGATTGGGAGGTTGAATTTCACATGATATGAAATACCACAATTAAATGTTCTGATGTATCTATATGTGTGAGAGAAGGGAATTTATTCTAAGGATATTTTAAGCTTGGAGGTAAAATAAAGCATGGAGAAGATATTTAGTAAATAGCCTATTTTCTAACACTTAAAACTACTGAAGTAATGTTAATTAGTTTTTCTATAGTAGCCATGCAACCTGAGGGTGTGTTGTCATCAAAATGATAAGCTAAGCAAAATTGGAATGGGTCAGTTCTAAGGGGATAATTCTATAAAGGATATCCAGAGCGCCAACTAAATTATTTTTAAAAGGGCCTTGATGATACTTTTACCTTCACAAAGGATATGAGTGCAATTGACTTTGTTTGAAATAATTATACATTTACTTGTAAGGTATAGACCCAGAATTAGAGACCATATAATAATAATAATAATAATAATAATAATAATAATAATAATAATAATAATAATAATAATAATAATAATAATAATAATAATAATAATAATAATAATAATAATAATATAGTATGTATAGTATGTGGCAACAGTCAAACCATGAAGTGACCAGGGCATGAATGACTGTCTGAATAGCCCCCTGATCCAGAAAAGAGATAATAATAATAATAATAATAATAATAATAGTAGTAGTAGTAGTAGTAGTAGTAGTAGTAGTAGTAGTAGTAGTAGTAGTAGTAGTAGTAGTAGTAGTAAAGTTGGAAGGGACCTTGGAGGTCATCTAGCCCAACCGCCTGCTCAGGCAGGAAACCCTATACCATTTCGGACAAATGGCTGTCCAGTCTCTTCTTAAAAACTGGACAGCTATTTGTCCAAAATTGTATAGGGTTTCCTGCCTGAGCAGGGGGTTGGACTAGATGACCTCCAAGGTCCCTTCCAACTTTACTACTACTACTACTGTTGTTGTTGTTGTTGTTGTTGTTGTTGTTATTATTATTATTATTATTATTATTATTATTATTATTATTATTATTATTATTATTATTATTATATGGTCTCTAATTCTGGGTCTATATTTTACAAGTAAATGTATAATTATCATTATATAATGATCATTAAGAGAACTTGGACATGAAATCTAAACTAATTCACTGAATGGAAAAGGATAGGTGAAGATGATTTCTTTATCAATTTTTTACAGCCATGCATCTCCCAAGAAAATGATTCTGGGTGGCATATGACACAATTAAAAAAATAATAAATATGTATAAAACTATCATAATTAAATATAAAAATAAAAGAAGCACACAAAATAGGAGACAATCATATTAACCACAGTAAAGGAGCCAACACAAAATCTTCCTGGTTCTCTAGGACCCCCCCAAACATAGTCAGTCTTGGGAATTTGTGAAATATTGAGAGAGATGGAGCTAATCTCACTTTCGGGAGAAGATTCCATAGTGTGAGAACCACCATAGAGGGCCCACCTTCTGGGAAATGTTAAATGTAATTCCCTGGGAGATGGGATCTGCCTTGTGCCTTCTCTGCAAGAGTTAATGGACAGATAGTTGTAATTGGGGGAGGTGGTCCCTCAGATAATCTTTAAGGTCTTTAAAGGTTAAAAACAATACCAAGCAAATTAGCAAGCAATGCAGCTCATGGAGCAAAGTTATAATGTGTAAAGGCAGACAAGAAGTTGGAAAATTGAAACAATGGTTGGAAGCTGACCAAAGAGAGAAGCAACCTGGAATTAAGGAGAAACTTCCTAACAGTGAGGACAATCAACCAATGGAACAGCTTGCCTCCAAAAATTGTGGGTGCTCTTCTTTTTAAGAAGAGATTAGACAGTCACTTGTCTGAAATAATATAGGTTCTCCTGCTCAAGCAGGGGGCTGGACTAGAAGACCTCCAAGGTCCCTTCCAGTTCTATTCTATTCTATTCTATTTTATTCTATTCTATTCTATTCTATTCTATTTTCTATTCTATTCTATTCTATTCTATTCTATATGCTTCCTTCCCATTCAAACAGAGGTTATTTTTAAAATGTGTTTTATTCATTCATTCATTCATTCATTCATTTATATGGCATCTTACAGACAAACTCTGGGCAGCTAACAACAATCCACAAAAGTTATATAATAAAAGCTCTGTCAACAACAATGTGGGCATTGAACTTATATGCTTATGTACTTTCTTTTTTATGGCTTTTTATTTTTGTAGGAAAGAATTCAAATTGAAAATGGCACTCTTACTATAAGTGTGCTGAACATGTCAGATTCTGGTCTCTATCAGTGTGTTCCAGAAAACAAATATGATTCCATTTATTCCAATGTTGAGCTAAGAGTCTTGGGTAAGTTTAAGGCTGAAAAAGATAAATAGGACAACAGAGATTAAAACAAGTAAAATTTCTTAAAAGTTGATTAGAAAGACAATCTTAAAGAAGAAAATACATCCATGTCATAGGGAAAAAAAGAAGGTATTATGTAGCACTCTATTCAAAAATAAAAAATAACTGAATTTAGTGGGCCTTGCTACCAGTTAATGTATGTAGCATTGCAGCCCTGTTCATTTCTAAGAAATGTCAAAGCATGTTTTAGAGCACATATGCTTTGGGGATCCAGGACTGGATATTTTGTGAAGAAAATATATCCTATATGCTGTAAACTGGAGAAGTGTACATGTTAATCTAAATGTATTGATTTAGTGCCATTAATATGGATATTTTTCATATATTTTATAAGTTGCTTTTATTAAATCATGGAGAGCCTCTAAAGGCCATACCCAACACTTTTGATGGGACCATGCATGACTTGGAGCTTCAGGTTTTGCTCCACAACCCAAAGTTGTTTTGATT